ACAGAATTTTCACACTTTTATCATGTTACTGTGTGAAATGTTATTCTTAGATAAAGATTGATACCTGCAAATTATATATATATACATATATATATACATATATATATATATATATATATATATCAGTTTGGGCTCATTTAATTATTAATTTATTATTATTTAATTAATAATTATATATATATATATAAATATATATCACAGAAAATGAAGCAAAATAATGATATAACTGCACCATTTCACAGTGTGCAGTCCTGAAAAAAAGACAAAAAACGACTGCATGGATTATTTCAATTAAAAACACAAAATAATGCAATTTTTCAAGCTTTTACTACAATTGATTTTTTTTTTATTTTTTTTTTAAATGGCACACATATCATTGTTAATTCATTTTGACCTTGCATTATATTTTTTCTTTTAGTGGAACTAGAATAAGAGAAATTTATCAATGCCTGCTTGCTATTCATAATGCATAGCTTAAGATTTATGGTCTGGAAAAACTGCCCTAGGGTCCAGGTTAACTCAATGAAGATGCTCCTATGAAGAACGTAGAGATTGATTCTATTGCTTGCCCTGTACACTTGTGAAAAGATATTTAAGCATATTTCTACAATATTTAAGTGGAAAGTTAAATTCCATGTACATGTATACTGAAGGTTAATAGATACTATTTTCTTCATTTGAACTGATGTCACTTTTTTTTTTCAAAATTCAAAAGGCAATGGCAAGGTGGTCTATGAATAGTCTTTTGGATATTTAAAAAAACCTCACTATTCTGTTTCAAGTAACAAAATATTGCTGCCCCAGGCATATCCCAGAAGCAGTTTATTTAAAAAAAAAAAAAAAAAAGCTACACTAGCTCTAAAAATAAACGGTTATAATGTGACCTAAAATTGAGAATTTGTTAGTTTCAATTATTATTTTTTTATGTGTTTTTCAAAAAGACAATTGAAGATTATGTTAGCTTCAGTGTACTGATAATCTTAATTTTAATAATGACAGGAGGCGAGTATTTAGCATAATCTTTCTTTACTAACTCCATAGTAGCAAAGAAAAGAGTGACACAACTTAGAACCAATCACAATGTAGTATAGGGTATAAGAGGTGTGACATATGACATAATTTCCTCTTTAAAACTGCGACATCACAAGGTCATAAATGCAGAATAATAATAGAACAACTTGAAAAAAGTCCATAGAATAAGATAATGGAAAACTAATATGAATAAATTGAACAGGAACTGGTAGAATGCAGACGAAGACATCCTGCTTTCAAACAATGATCTCCCATGACTTGATGATAAGGTTCCATGGTGTGATGATGACGAAACCTTGCATGGATTCTTTAATATTTCCCCGTGGTTTCTGATTAAGCTGAAACGAGGGTATAAAGGGTATTAGATTCAAAAAAGTGATTGTGTAAAACAATAAATGTCTATCCCTTAATTTAACTTAATAACATCTAGTATAATAATAACAAAACGTCCTCCCATCTAACGGTGTTAACTAAATATCCCACCCATATTGAGTATATGTATAAAAATCTTCGAATGAACATAAGTAAGGCATTAAAACAAATGCTACCAGGTTAGGTATTTATACAATAATGTGAGGAAACAAAATGCCATAGATAGATATGAAATTAATAGGGAGGGAAGAACGAAAGAGAGTAGGGAGGGAAAATACTTGCCTCCTGCCATTATTAAAATTAAGATTATCAGTACACTGAAGCTAACATTATCTTCAATTTTATCACATGACAGGAGGCTTCGTATTTTGCAATTTTAATGCTGGGAAAGTAGAGCAAAAGCTGGATTATCAAGAGGACGGAAGTAAAATGTCCTAAAAGTGGATTCTCTGGTCCAGTCTGCCGCCCGTAAGATGTCTGAAAGGGAAGCACCTGCTGCATAAGCTGAAGAGGCCGCGGCCCTGCGAACGGAATGTGCTCCAAAAGTTTGGTAAATACCTGCAAGGTATAGTAGCCGTCTAACCCATCTGGCTAACGTAGTGGCCGAAGCTGGACCGTAAGGGCAGACGTATGAGATGAGAAGTTGACGATTAGAAGATTGCCGCAACATCGCGGTGGCTTCCACGTAGTGATGCAGAATAGAGACCACGCAGAGTTGTGGGTCTGAAGGGAAGAAGGGGTAGAAGACTGAGGAAGAGTTGGACTTTGTGCGTCGTGAGACCTGAAAGGTTACCCCCATCGGGCAAAAGGTAAATGCGTCGGCATCGAAGGCTCGTACGTCAGAAACCCGTTGAAAGGAAACCAGACACAGCAAGAAGGTGAATTTCGCAGTAAGTTGGCGGAGTGACAAATCTTTGTTGGGGGGCCAATCCCGCAAGAATTGTAAAACAATGCCGACGTCCCAAAGGCTTGAATATTTGGGTTCCGGGCGGCGTCGAAGGCGCATGCCATGGAGGAGTCTGCAGACGAGCGGGTCCTGACTGACAGGAGTCCCATGGGTCGGAGTATGGGCCGCTGAGATGGCTGAACATACCACGTTGATAGACCGATTAGACTTTCCGGCTGTGAATAGAGAGGTTAAGAAATTCATGATGGAGGTAGCAGGTGCAGTAAAGGTATTGAGATCCCGTCCCAAACACCAACTTGTCCAGGAGTGCCATGCTGATAAGTAGCACCTCCTCGTTCCTGGGGCCCATGAGTCTCATGGGAGATCCTTAGTTTCCTGCGATAGGTCCTTGGTTCACCAGGAACCCCGGAAAGAGTCCAGGCCACCAGGGGAAGGCATTCCTCCATGACCAGTGGATGAGGTAGTCCCAACAGGTTCTTGAGGATGGTCGGAGCCTCTGGTAGGAGGAGGGGGTCCCTGATCGACAGTTCCAGAAGGTCCGGGAACCATGGTTGACTCTGCCAAAGTGGCGTTATGAGGGTTATCTTCACCCTCTGTATGCAGATCCTGGTTATCATTGAGAAATGCGTAAGCTCTGCTTCTGGCCATTGTTGTAGAAAAGCATCAGTTGCTAGGCTCTCTGGGTCTGGGAGCCGGCTGAAGAAGTTCTTCGTTTGTCGGTTGTTGCAGGACGCGAATAGATCTAGGATGAAAGGGCCCCTCTGTGTGTATAGTATTGTGAAAACATGAGGGTCTAGTTGCCAATCGCTGGCGTCTCGCCAGTGGCGTGAGTCCGCCGTCATGTTGGATTGTCCCGGTAGATATTCTGCCAGCAGCGTGATGTTGCGTGGTAGGCAGTAGTCGAAGATCTCTTTGGTGAGTTCCACTAGTGCTTGGGAACGTGTGCCTCCGAGGCGGTTGATATATCTTACAGCTGAGACGTTGTCCATTCGGAGCATAATGCAGCAGTTGGATTGTTCCTTTGCCAGGCTGCGAATGGCCAACGATCCGGCCAAGAGTTCCAGGCAGTTGATGTGCATCGAGAGCTCCTGGGAAGTCCATACCCCTCCCGTGGAAGAGGTTCCGTCCGTTGCTCCCCAGCCTGATCAGCTGCCGTCTGATTCCAGCACGAAGTTTGGCTGGCTTCCAAATATGGCCCTGCCGTTCCAAGCCTGCATGCAATTCAGCCACCAGTGCAGGTCCTCCCGAACCTCGTCCGACATAGGGATCGGTTGGTCGTATGTAGGTTTTCTGTGAAGGAATTTGGTCTTGAGGCGTTGCATGGCTCTGTAGTGCAGGGGTCCGGGAAAAATGGCCTGGATGGATGAGGAGAGAAGGCTTACGATCCGTGCCAGTAGTCTCAGGGGTATGGATGTCAATCGCAGTACTTTCCGGATTTCTCTGCGAATGGCCGCAATCTTTGCGGCCGGGAGGCGCAGAGTGCATGATGTGGAGTTTATTTCGAATCCGAGAAATAGAATTGATTGAGCCGGGGTCATCGAGGACTTGGGGCGATTGATAATGAAACCTAGAGACTCGAGTAGATGTATTGTGTAGGTTGTGTGTCTCCTCAGAGTCCCTGTATCCTCGTCGAAGATACATTTTATGCCGTGGGCTCTGAGTTTCGTCACTACTTGGTGAAGCACAACGGGGCCGAACTGAAGCAGAACAGGAGGCAGGTAAATTGCCAGGGTGTCCCGTGCCATAAAAAGCTGAGGTAGGGGCGACTCCTTTTGTTCTGGAAAAAAAGAAAAACACGACCTGTGATATGACAGGAGGTTAAAGGGAGGGAAGAATGTTGACTTACCATTGGAGAACCTTGCCCGGGAGCGTTATCGGCCGCTGCGGCCACGATCTGATCCCCTGAATTGGTGGAATCGATGTTGAGTAGACAAGTCTGTTTGGTAGAACGGTTGAGTCCTAGTTGTGCGGGTGCCGGACGGCCAGAAATGACTGGCGGCATGACCCCTCTGCCGGCCAGCCCTGCCAAAAACACCTCGGGTGTTGGGGCTGCAGAAAACTTTCTGCATCGATGTTTGTGCCTTGTTAAGGGACGTAAATATATTGACCGTTTTGTTTAATTCTTTAAGGAAGGCCTCGCCGAATAGTTTGCCCTGTGCTAACGGACCTAATTTGACAAGTTTGTCATCGATACGGTAAAGTGCTGCTCGGCACCTCTCCGAAGAGAGGGCTACATTGGTGTTCCCGAGGAAACAGAAGCACCTTTGTGCCCATTCTCGGGTATCTCGTGCCCACTCACACACCGTATCTGGGGTAAAATCGTCAGCCCTCTCATAGGCGTCATCCGCCATGTCCATAATTCTTGCTAGCAGCTTGTCCTGGACTCCTTTAAAACCACGTTCTATGCCCTTGCGCGGGTCCCAACCCCCTCGGGACATGAAAGTGGTCATGAGTGGGTCGAATTCGGGGGTGTGTGCCACCTTGTCTGGCAGAATTGGGCGAGGACATTCTGATTTCATCCGTTTACGCACTTCCTTGTCCAGAGATTTTCTGAGCCAGAATTGCATAAATCTGGCTAGATATTCAGGAGAGGACCAGTCCTCCGAGCGGGAATGACGGATGGTTCTAGGGTCAAACATTTGGAGGCCTGAACTGTCAAGGAAAATCTCTGTACCCTCCTGTGGGTTACCGATGGATGTGGTCATGGAGTCCTGGGGCTCACCCAGGATCTGCTCCCTTATTAGATAAGGGTCAGAGTTGGCTGCGGAGTCCCTGTCGGAGTCCTCCTGTTCGGAGACCACCACCTGCCATTCATCCAGCACAGCCAGTGCATGTGTGGGTTCCGCGTCTTCCTCACCTGAGGAAATCTGAGTGGGTTCGTGGACCATACGGGTCGTGGTCGATCTGCGTTTAGCAGGTGCTTTCCCTTTTAATTTGCGCAGTGCAGCGGCCTCACCTTTCCAGTGGCGTTTAGGCCGATGAGAGCGTTCCCTGGAAGAGTCAGAGTTTTCAGAGTCTGCACCATAGTGAGTCTGTTTGGAGATGGACTGTTCCGTCTGGAAGGACTTAGAGGAGGCCTTTTCCATAGCTGCAGTTACAGCTGCTGCGATCATGGCCTGGAGCTCTGAGGGGTTTTGTGAATCCTCCATCTGCTCTGGAATTGACACTCGGGGCTCACCGATTAACTATGCGTGAGTGCACTTGGGCACGTTAGCTGGAGAGGCCTGGGGACCAGGGGTGGTATTGTTTCGGTAATGATTTACCAGGAGATTATAGGACCGATAGGTCGTAGGAAGGTGATGAGAGGGCTTGTCGCAGGGGCTCACCCAAATAACCGAAGTCCTGCATAAACAGGTTCGTTCAGCAGCACATGAATGGGGGCTCACCCCGGCCAGAATAAGGGATAACCAACCCCAGTGTTAGACACTAACCTGATTTGGTCCCACTGATTGAAAACAGGCAGGGTATAGTAACAGGTTTGCTTTGACTCAGAGCTGTAGAGATAGGCAGTTTGTCTGGTAGCAATATCCCTTTAAAATGGCTGCCGGACTAATAGTACCTCCCCTAGGCTGGGTGGCAAATCAAGGATTTGCACGAATGCAGGCGTTCATGAGCACAAACAGCCGAACCTGAGCTTTCTGGTAATGCTGTTCGGGTGTTTGTGCGAACGAGCATGCGAATGTGAGCGCCAAACGGCAATCGCGTAAAACTGCCAAATGGTTAGCGTTCGGTAGAAAGGAGTGAACGTCCATCCGCGAACGCAAGGCAATATTTTTGTGCCGTACGTGAGGCGAAAGGGTGAACAGAAGGCAGGAAAGTTCCGCGAACGCATGTTATAAAGAAGAAGGGAATAGTAATGGCACTGAGAATAAACGGCTGGGGAGTCCCAAAATCCTTTTGGGGACCGGGAAATAACCCAGAAGCCAGGGGTGGGGGGGTGAAGGGAAGGGATGTCCCTGAGGGGAGGTTGAACAGACCCCAAAGGAGAGGGGTAGCCCCCATCACGGTAGAGGTAATCAATAGAAAACAATACAAGATGTATGACAATATCACAGTTAGGTAAACGATGATAGTATGAATATGTATAAATCACAGTTCAGCAAATATGACAGATAAAAATTGTGTACTTAGCTCTTGTGATGGAGCAGCAAAGAAAGAGGAAATTATGTCATATGTCACGCCTCTTATACCCTATACTACATTGTGATTGGTTCTAAGTTTTGTCACTCTTTTCTTTGCTGCTATGGAGTTAGTAAAGAAAGATTATGCTAAATACGAAGCCTCCTGTCATGTGATAAAATTACTAGTTTATATAGCCTTTACGCTGAACTAACAATGGTAAGCAGACATAGGATGTGTATGCAACATTTTTGGATTAATGTGTATATGGAATGTGGTATTTTTTTCTTCATAATTATAACAAAAACAACATATAAAGCAATGCAACAGACCTATTGAAACACAACTTTACTAATTATGATTTTGAGAATAATATAAAGTATTGATTTTTTTTTTACATGGCCAGAGATAGATAATGAATGGAGTGAGGATGTTGTTAAAGAAACAGAGGCATAATTAAAATAAGTGAATTATTGAGAGAGGCCATAGTGAAAGATCACACCATGAACGTCAAAAATGGAAGAAAGTATTTTCATTGGTGAAAACTGTCCGTATCTTTCAAACAGTCAGGCTGCTTTGAAGTGAGGATGTTGTTAAAGAAACAGAGGCATAATTAAAATAAGTGAATTATTGAGAGAGGCCATAGTGAAAGATCACACCATGAACGTCAAAAATGGAAGAAAGTATTTTCATTGGTGAAAACTGTCCGTATCTTTCAAACAGTCAGGCTGCTTTGAATGACTTAAAGAAAAAGAATGAACATCATATGTTAACACCATGTGTTGTGCAAAATAAGATATAATTCCTAGCAATGCAGCTTCCTTGTACTGTGTCCTCCCACATAATCTTTCTGCAGAAGCCAAAACCAATAAGCAAGGAGCACAAAATGAGCCTTTAACTGATAGCTCACAATTAGTTTTCTTTGAAGTCTGAAGATACTTGAACTCAATTGCTATAGTTCAAATGAAACAAGAAAAATGATTAACCCCTTAAGGGTTGAGGCAATTGTTTAACCTCTGAACTAAAACATAGTAATAATAATAATTAGTAGTAATAGTATTAATAATAATAATAATAATATAATTTGAGTTATGTGGTTTTTCTACTAAATTTAAAGGGGTGCTCCGGATGCCTAAAGCACTTTACTTTGCATATGTGAAGAGTGTATGAAAAGGATGTTACTGAAAGGGGAAAAATAAAACAACTATTTTTTTCACATATAAGTCCTGATTGTTAAATCCCTCATAATATTGTATTTAATTTTTCAGAAACATTTTTGGTAGTTATACAAGAAGTCAATTAAATTATAATTAAGAATTAATTCATAATAATTATAATCATTATTAAAGCTAAAAACTTTCTCAACATTGTTATGATTAGACTACAACTTAAATAGAATCACAGAATCCCACAATTCTAAAGAAAAGTATATTTTTGAGAGAGAGCAGTTTTACTTTTTTATTTAACCATTTTATTATTAACCTGCAAAACCTGCTTGAGATATAAATATATATATTTTTTTTCCTTATTTTTTTTTCGGATGTTTTTTACACGTTACTTTTTCACAAGTTACTTAACAGGTCAAAATGTAAATATTTTATAGTTCAAATATCCATTTTTAAGCAACTTATTTACCGGATCCATTTGACTTTTTGTGACAAAACAGCAAAATTAGCTGACCTGAAACCTAATCTTATGCCATCTCTAACACAATGCTAACTTGAAACCTAACACTAAATCAATATTAACACTAATGCAAACCCTTTGAGCTTCATTTAACCACTTCATACAACTCATTAGTGAGTCTAGTGCCACTAAGCCTTGGTCTGTCATGGTTTTCACCATGCCAACCAGACGGGGCCATTCCTCCAGTGTATTTGAACCTGGATCTTTCAATGTCCTGGGCGTGCTATACTGCCTCTGAGCTACAGCAGATTCTGTTCTGTTTAGTAGTTCTATCCCTGTTATACCTGGCTATGTTTGCAGCACTAGGGGTTGGACTTTATCTGTGGCTTTTGCCTGTGCTTCAGCTGAGGCAGATTGCTCATTAGCTGGGTATAAAACACTGCCTCTCCCTATGAGCAGTGTCAGTTCTTTGATGCTGATGAATGTGTGTTGTTCATGTTTTGTCTAGTGAACTTGTTCTCCAGATTGACCCTGACTTCCCTCCTCGTTTATCCTGACCCATGGCATCCTGCTGCTTGTGTCCTTGTCAGTACTGAGTATTGGAGCACCTTTCCTGCCTAAACCCCTGTGCACAGATTCACAGCCTAGGTACCTTCATAACTGATTATCATGGGCGGTGTTTATCTGCAAGGGTGAGCATACATCTCTGCATTTCGTTCTCCAACCAAGGTAAGCTGTGACAGGGTCTCCATGATTAGAGCAGTAATCTAAAATTGCAGGAGTTTCCATACCATCCGAATGGCTTTAAAGCCCATTATTTTTAGGATAGAACCCTAAATGGGTTAAACTTGCTAACAAAACCTATGATTTTAGCTGGTATACAGTCCATGAAGCAAGTTTCATCCAAGTCTGGGTATTTCCTCAACTGTGCCAAATTCTGATATACTTTTAAATAAACTAATTGTGAGCTATCATTTAAAGAAACATTCTACATTACATATATCTATTTATAATGTGTTTCTTCAGATTTCAAGCTGTTTTTAAAATAAATTTTAAAAAAACTCTATGAAACACACTGGCAATCTCCTAATGAGAAGCACCGGTAAACTGCTGCTTATGTGCAGCCTTTATAGCATTAATTAAACCAGATGTTTCTCATAGAGAAGCACTGACTCCAAATGATCTCTATAAGATTCATTCATAGCATTCAGCAGTATCAAACTGGTGTGTGATGACGCAGAACATGAACCCTGCCAATAATTGAAAGTCTTTAGTGAGAAAGTGATCAACTGGTTGTTAGTCTGATAGCTACTAGATGTGTGTTTATGGCCAAATTGTGATTTCTTGGTAACAGCAATATTTAAGATGAAGTGGTTTAGGTGCTTATAGTGTCCCTTTAAAGGATTGCCTTGTGCCCCTTACTTGTTGATATAGGCTTCTTAGGAATGATACAAATAAAGCAATAACATATGTTTGCCATCTAAAGGCAATAAAACCTATTAGTCTTCTAACTAATTTGTAGGACCTATGTTATTATAACATGTATTGAATTCCCAAAGGTTTCTATATATTGGCTTCCTTGAGCTTTTCATGACCTTCAATCTTTTACACACTTTTGCCCCTTTTAGTTCCTAGTCCTCTTCCAAAGCAGTTTGAACATCCTGAATCAGAATTCTCCCCTCCAGGCTTGCTTGACAAAGGTCAGAGGAGTTGTTGATATCAAATGATGCATTAACCCTGTAAGTTCAGAAGATGTCAGTGCTTGCACAGTAATACATATTTCAGACTGTTTGTTAAATGGACCACTGCAGTGATTCTTAACTAACCTATTCACAATTATTGTTAGTACTCAAATTCTAAGAGAAATTATCCAATATAATTTACACTGGATTTACCCCTTTCCAGAGATGCAGGCACAGCTATTGTAGAACACCAAATTCACGAACCGCCAATAAGTGAATGCTCCAAACTCCCGAACGGCATTCAATATAGCACTCCAAACACACGAACTGGAACCATACGAATCACTGCTAGCAGACGAATAGGAAAAGCATCCAAGCGGCTAACACTCCTAGCAATCAGTCTCTATCAGCGTTCAGTAAATCCCCCAAAGATGAGACAAGGCTCCGTGTTGAGGGTCAAGCAGTGGTCTGTTTAATGAGGGCTACCTGCCCAGTATTTATGCAGGTCTCCCACCTGGTGGACACTCCCCTAGGGGACCAAATGGGAGACTGTGACAAGACAGACAATCAGCCAAACAGGACACAGTCACATTTTATTCCCACAATGCATCCTGGCTTCCTCCCCTCTGCCTTGGAGATAATTGAGAAGTAATTCAATTATCTCCCAAGATAAAGGCAAATCGCCATTATGCACATGGGGATACTAACACACGAATTATTGT